ACCTATGTAACAAACCTGTACATTCTGCACCTGTATCCCAGAACTTAAAGTGTAATAAGAACAAACAAACAAATAAATAAATAAATAATAAATGAATTTTCAAAAGGCTCTTCCACGATATCCCATTTCCTTTCTACCATTTGTACACTGGAAATGATTGCTGTAAGCCAAATAAAATGAGAACTGACAGAAAATGTTCTCTCTACTTGTTTCCCAATGGAACTAACCAGTGGTTAGGAGGCTAGAGAAGGATATTTAAGTTATTTCTAAGCTATCAAAAAAGCAGTCTTTTCTGAGCTTTAAGCATAGTGTACTTAATACATTTGGATGAAGGAATTTGGGAAGTTTTTTTAAGCATTTAATTAAGATCCTTTAGTTAAGACTCAGAATCAGCATTTCTCCTCATCCTTAAAGTGCTGAGCTATGCAATACATGCACAGGGATGTTCCAAATAATTGTATGAGCTGAATTCTTAGGAAGTCAGCCACATTTGATATACCTTAGAGAACATGTCAGTTAATAAAACTCTAATTTTAAGCAACTCTGGCTAAATATAAAAACAACAAACGATTTGTACAATAATTGATGCATAGTGGATACTGACTTCCTTCCTTAAATACATATTGTACTATTAAATATATGTTAATAACTGTTAAGTTGCTCTAAGAAATCTTTAAGAATTCTTGGTCTGTTAAACTACTTCATGGTGATAAAAAATGTTTGTGATACATCATTAGTGAAAAAATAAATCTGGGCAGTATAAATATAATTTGCAAATTATAGTAACGCCGTCTATAAATGTAATCTACCACATAAACAGAACCAAAGACAAAAACCACACAATTATCTCAATAGATGCAGAGAAGGCCTTTGACAAAATTCAGCAGCACTTTATGCTAAAAACTCTCAATAAACTAGGTATCAATGGAACATATCTCAAAATAATAAAAGCTATTTATGACAACCCTATAGCCAATATCATACTGAATGGGCAAAAACTGGAAGCATTCCCTTTGAAATCCAGCACTAGACAAGGATGCCCTCTCTCACCACTCCTATTCAGTATAGTATTGGAAGTTCTAGCCAGAATAATCAGGCAAGAAAAAGAAATAAAGGGTATTCAATTAGGAAAGGAGGTAATCATTTGTCTCTATTTGCAGACAACATGAGTGTATATTTAGAATGCCCTATCATCTTAGCCCAAAATCTCCTTAAACTGATAAGCAACTTCAGCAGAGTCTCAGGATACAAAAGCAACGTGCAAAAATCACAAGCATTCGTATACACCAATAACAGACTTAAAGAGAGCCACATCAAGAACAAACTGCCATTCACAATTGCTACAAAGAGAATAAAATACCTGGGAATACAATTAACAAAGGACATAAAGGACCTTTTCAAGGAGAACTACCGACCACTGCTCAACGAAATAAGAGAGGACACAAACAGATGGAGAAACATTCCATGGTCATGGTTAGGAAGAATCAATATTGCAAAAATGGCCATACTGCCCATAGTAATTTACAGATTCAACGCTATCCCCATCAAGCTACCAATGACCTTCTCCACAGAACTGGAAAAAAACACCTTAAACTTCATATGGAACCAAAAGAGAGCCCACATAGCCAAGTCAACTCTAAGCAAAAAAAAAAAAAAAAAAAAAACAAAGCAGGAGGCATCACACTATTGGATGTGAAACTATACTACAAGGCTACAGTAATCAAAACAGCATGGTACTGGTACCAAAACAGAGATGTAGACCAATGGAACAGAACAGAGGCCTTGGAGGCAACGCCACACATCCACAACCATCTAATTTTTGATGAACCTGACAAAAACAAGCAATGGGGAAAGGATTCCCTGTTTAATAAATGGGGTTGGGAAAACTGGCTAGCAGTGTGCAGAAAGGAGAAACTGGATCCCTTCCTGACATCTTACACTAAAATTAACTCCAGATGAATTAAAGACTTAAACATAAGACCTAAAACCATAAAAATCCTAGAAGAAAACCTAAGCAAAACCATTCAGGACATAGGCATAGGCAAAGACTCCATGACTAAAACACCAAAAGTATGGGCAACAAAAGCCAAAATAGACAAATGGGACCTAATGAAACTCCAGAGCTTCTGCACAGCAAAAGAAACAACCATTAGGGTGAATAGGCAACCAACAGAATGGGAAAAAGTTTTTGCAGTCTATCCATCTGACAAAGGCTAATAACCAGAATCTACAAAGAACTAAAACAGATTTACAAGAAAAAAACAAACAAGCCCATTCAAAAGTGGGCAAAGGATATGAACAGACACTTTTCAAAAGAAGACATTTATGAGGCCAAGAAACATATGAAAAAATGCTCATCATCACTGGTCATTAGAGAAATGCAAATCAATACCACACTGAGATATCACCTCACACCAGTTAGAATGGCGATCATTAAAAAAATCTGGAGACAACAGATGCTGGAGAGGATGTGGAGAAATAGGAACACTTTTACACTGTTGGTGGGAGTATAAATTAGTTCAACCATTGTGGAAGACAGTGTGGCGATTCCTCAAGGACCTAGAAACAGAAATTCCATTTGACCCAGCAATCCCATTACTGGGAATATATCCAAAGAATTATAAATCATTCTATTACAAAGACACATGCACAAGTATCTTCATTGGGGCACTGTTTACAATAGCAAAGACCTGGAACCAACCCAAATGCTCATCAATGATAGACTGGACTGAAAAAATGTGGCACATATACACCATGGAATACTATACAGCCATAAAAAAGATGAGTTTGTGTCCTTTGTAGGGACATGGATGAATCTGGAAACCATTATTCTCAGCAAACTGACACAAGAACAGAAAATCAACCACCACATGTCCTCATTCATAGGCAGGTGTTGAATAATGAGAACACATGGACACAGGGAGGGGAGCATCACACACTAGGGTCTGTTGGGGGGGAACAGGGGAGGGACAGTGGGGGTAAGGAGGTTGGGAAGGGAGAACATGGGGAGAAATGCCAGATATAGGTGATGGAGGGATGGAGGCAACAAACCACATTGCCATGTATGTACCTATGCAACAATCGTGCATGTTTTGCATATGTATCCCAGAACCTAAAGTGCAATTATACACACACACACACTAAAAATGCCTAAAATTCATTAGAAGGCTCTACAACTAAATGTTAGCAATAGTTAATGCTGGGTGATGACATCACAGATGAGATTTTTAAAATTCTGTGTGCATTTATTCTTCTTAAATATTTTTCGTGAAAGTTACGAGTTTAAAAATAAAACCAGCTATTTAAAAAATCCAAACCCAGGTAATGGCTTGTTTCCTCAGAGGAATTCTTTTGTTTCGTTTTGTTTTTCCAGTATGATGATGAGTGTAATTTTGACTGTCCTTAAGCTCACAGCTAACATCAAACTCACACACTTACAGTTTACCATTTTTGTTCCAGTATTTACTTGTATATATTTTCATGATAAGCAAAAAGGGAAAAATCAGGGCACTAATGAGTGAGCAGAACTTTGTTTAAAAGTACTCTCTGAGACCAGAAAGGCTGGCAGTCAATAAAATGGTTTTTGCCGATGACGTTTTTCTCCCAGATTTAATGGTCATTGTGATCTAAACATCAGAAAGCACAAATAAATTATAAAGGTATTCTGTGAGAAAGCAGATGCAGTTTCAAAAATAAAAAAGCCTTAATTCTTTTTTTCTATCAGTTATAATAAAGGGAAATACTACCAAAGAAATTTTTGGGTCTTTTGAATAAATATCTAGGTAAACATGAAATTATTTGCTAATGTGTAGTCAGCCATTGGTAATTTCTTTTAATATGGGTTCCTTTATTTCTTTAAAAAAGCACTTGCTAATTTTTTATTCTAAAAACTGTTCTGTCATCTTCAAATGATTAAAAATGTCCAGGGATGAAAAGGTACTTTGTCTTTTAAGAAGTGGATTGACCTGAACATGCATGAAACTGTAGGGCTGAGCAAAAGTAACACAGAGTTAACCTAATATTGACTAATAAGGAAGAGGGAGAGCAATTGAGTTAAAACTTGATTGTTGCTATTGTAAACTATCCTGACTATAAAGAAACTATTATAGGGTTTGATGCGGGCTTATTAAAGATGGCAGAGGGTACACAGCATGATTTTTTCTATTTTTTTTAAAACAGAGAAATTATGAATATAAAACATTATGATTACTTCAAGATCATATAGGTGTAAAAGTAATTTAAGGCATCCCTAGAAAGCGGAAAAACCTTCAAGACAAGGCCAGTACTGTAGGGAAAAGCAGTACCCTCATTGCCTCTCAACTCACACCAGCTGAAGGAGAAAGTGCCTTCAGAGCTTTTAAAATCTAAGAACAAATGGCTGGATGCCTGAGCAGGCCAAAGTCTGAGGCTTTTGTTTAGTAAGATCTCAAAGTCTAGTTTCCCATCCTTTGACGCTAAGAAATTGAAGATTCTCTCGAGATGACAACAGAAACCAAAGTTTCCTAAAATCGTAAAGGACAAATTTGTATTAGGTGAGTAATAATATATTTACCCTGTACAAAGGTATTAGCAAATGAAATGTAATTCTTACTCTATTCCACCTTAATTTAACTAAAAACATTGTCATTTGTTTAAATAATTGATACAGTTATATATATTTTAGGGTAAAGCATAATGGGCCAGAAACTGTGCTTCCTGGTACTTTTGGTTATTGGTGATTAAGGAGAATCTCCAAACCCATTAAGAGCTATAAATATTTCCAGTGGCAACTGTCTGAATTGTAGATGGAATGCCTAGAAGGTCAAATTGGGCTTCTACAGGACTAGCTGGCCTGGGCATTCCAAGCCCACTTAGTTTTTTTTTTTTTTTTTTTTTTTGCCAATCAGTTTGAGCTTATGAGGTTGCTCAGGTTAGCCTTGAACTGATGACCTTGCCTTCGCGAGCGCCATGACCTCTGGCGGGAGCCACTTTGGACTAATCTGTAGTGACAACTCTCTTACCAGCAGGGCTTTTAGGTAATACAGATTCAAGCCTTGTTAATTCTGATGATTTATCTTTGGATTCACTGATGGTTGGTGAATTCTCCATGGACTGTGGTTTTGGAGTTAAAACTTCTGAGTGAGAATGGAGCCCATTAATTGGAAAAGAACCAAAAGTCATTGGCTGATGTGTTTCACTTTTTGATACATTTGGGCTTGAGGCTGACTGATGAAAAGGCAAAGGCTTTCTGTATTGAGAAGTCTTAGGGTCATTCTGCAACTTATCTGTGTCCCCTGCATCTTCCGATCCATTCTTCAAGCTGTCAGATTCTAAAACACTAAATTCTCCAACTTCCCGTCCATGGATTAGCCCAGGACTCTGTGGAAGCTCATCCTTCACTGCAGAGAATCTCACATGCTTTAATGGCTCCAGGGAGTCTGAGGAAGAGTTGTCCTCTAAAGAATGCTCTTTCTCAGAAATTTTCTCATGGATGGTTAGGCCAGGTGACACAATTTTGCTTTTGGGTTCAAAGTTGTGATTAAAACGAAGGGTTTCTGAGTCTGTGCTACTGGAACTGGAGTTGCGCTTGAGGATCCCTCTTGGAGCCCCTCTCATTTTCAGGGAGTCTGTCCTTTCTCTTGGAAAAGGCTGGTTATCATCTTTGTTTAAATCAATTGATTTGTAGACCATCTTCCTGGCTTTGGGGATTGGAGCCTTGATTTGGGACCCATTTGAAAGGCCTGGCAAAGTCTGGTTTGATTTCTCCAACATTTGCATTGAAGTATCTGCGACAGTTGACTTTTCTTTTGACTCTGACAATTCATCTGAAAAAGCACAGTAGGTGATATATCATATGGAGAGTAATATATAATTTAAAATACCTATAATAAACTTAACCTACACTGAGTAAAACTATTAAAATATTAAAGACAGTAAAGTAGGTAGCACAAGTACAAGCCTCATGTGAAAAGCCTTTAAAAATGCATGCAGTGGAGAACAGAGGACTTTTAAGAGCACTGAAACTACTCTGTGATACTACAATGGTGGCCACACACTATTATACATTTGTCCAAACCCATACAGTGAACAACAAAAATAAACCTTGATATAAATGATGTACTTTGGGTGACAGTGATGTCTCAGTGTGGTTCATCAGTTGTAATAAATGTACCACTCTTATGGGGGATGTTGACAATGAGGGAAGCTGTGCCTATGTGGGAAGTGGGTGTATAGGGAAAATGTCTGTATCTTTTGTTCAATATTGTGAACCTAAAACTACTCTAGAAAATAACGTCTATTAGAAAAATCATGTATAAACGTCATTATACCTTACATTTAAAATTACTGTGCTTTATATACTTTGTTAATATTTTATACTCAATATAGAAAGATTTAAGAATGAAAAGAAAATTTGTCAAGAGAGGCTTAAAGAAAAACATAGAAGTCACTTAAATTCACCTGCAGAAATCAGAAAAGGAAACTCAATTAAAATAAAATAAAATCTTGGGCCGGGCGCGGTGGCTCATGCCTGCAATCCCAGCACTTTGGGAGGCGGAGGCGGAAGGATCATGAGGTCAAGAGATCGAGACCATCCTCGCCATAATGAAACCCCGTCTCAGCTACAAATATAAAAATTAGCGGGGTGTGGTGGCACGCTCCTGTAGTCCCAGCTACTCGGGAGGCTGAGGCAGAAGAATCGCTTGTACCCAGGAGGTGGAGGTTGCAGTGAGCCGAGACTGCACCACTGCACTCCAGCCTGGAGACAGAGCAAGACTCCGTCTCAAAATAAAATAAAATAAAATAAAATCCCAATACCTAAAACAAAGAGTTGACAAAAAAAGTTTGTCAAAAAGTTAAAAACAGGCCAGGTACGGTGGCTCACATCTGTAATCCCAGAACTTTGGGAAGCCAAGGTGGATGGATCACTTGAGGTTAGGTGTTTAAGAACAGACTGGCCAACAGGGTGAAACCTCATCTCTACTAAAATTCCAAAAATTAGCCGGGTGTGGTGGTGCACACTGGTAGTCCTAGCTACTCAGGAGGCTGAGGTACAAGAAGCCTTTGAACCCAGGGGGTAGAGTTTGCAGTGAGCCAAGATTGCACCACTGCACTCCAGCCTGGGCTACAGCAGAACTCTGAAGAAAAAAAAAAAAAGTTAAAAAACATCTAACATGTTCCAGTGATTTTGTTTTCTACAAAATACTGCCCAATGGAAAGTATATTAACATTCAAACAGGCCAATTGAAAACCCCAGCTCCACTGTTGGTTAATTTTCTAGGCTTGATCACTCTTTAAGGCTTGTGGAATCTTCTTCAAGTTGCTTTTGAAGAGATTGAAATGTTTAGCACTTCCTTAACAGTATGCAGAAATGAAGAAAGACCATAGCAGGCTGACTTACATCAATTAAGCCACAAACCTGATCAAACGCTTGTGGGCATCTGGGCTGAGAATTACAGATTAGAGGATCATAACATTCTCAAGAGGCCTTTTCTTTTTGAGGCAACCCCTTTTAAAGACAACTACGTGGGCACACAGTCAGTATCTAATAAATACTGGTAAGTGGAAGACTTTGACTGTCTTGGTCAAAAAAATCTCCCAATTTACTGATGAGGGAGTCCAAGACACGATGCCAGAGCTTGTTATGTGACTGCACAAGCCTCCAGTTTCTAAAATTTCTGCTTCCTCTCCCTCAGGAAGGAAACCAACAAGCATAGTAAAATAAGAAAACCATCAGGACTTTTCACTTTCTCCTGGAAGTTATTTGAGTGAAAGGAACTCTGAGAATTTCTCTTACTCCACAGATAACAAAGATAAAAATATCAAATTCATAAAAATAATATTTACCCTCTTTTGAAGTCTGAAATAAACCAGCTCTTCCATTTTTTGACTGTTCATTTTTAGTTTGTTGTGACGAGTGACCTTCTGGCAACTTGGAGCTATTAAATGGATTCTTTCTCTGCTGTGGAAAAATATTGTTTATTAAACTTATTTTAAATGTCATGAAAGCAACTCAGTGTTGGCAAATGCTTATCATCTTCAATTTTATTAGTTTTATCCTAAAAATTCCATTATCTGGCATGTTTGAAAAACAGTTGTCCTGATTAACCTGCTTAGCACAAAATTACCATATATGCTATATAAAAATTATATAAAATACATGCAAAGCCAGATTCCTACTAAGTTAGATCAGAATCAGGCACTTAAATCAAAATCCCACACTTTACAGATGAAAAAACTTGGCCCTAGATATAGCGAAGACCAGATCAAGGTTAAAGAAAACTCGGGTCTCTAATCAGGTCCCACCGGTGCTTCCACCATGCCAGATTCTCAGTGTGCTAGATCACAGCTACACAAAATGCAACTGTAATTGACCTTTCTTAAGGTCAATTACAGTTGAAGACATTTTAGGTATTCTAAAGTGCTTCACGGTCATTATCATCATCAATTCTAATGATAAAAATGATATCAATAGAGGTTTTAAAAATTAATATAGGACTCAATAACAATGTTTACTGTCTACAGTTTAATAAATTAGCAATTCTCTCCCAGAAGCAGATCTCTAACAGAGATTTAGGAAGCTATGCATATGAGTAAGGACTGACATGGAACTAACAAGCCTTATTCCATATGCTAAAAAGCAGCAGCACCAAACAGCTTCAGACTTTTTACTGTCTAAGGCAAGAAATCTGGGTCTTCTGCAATGCAGTGACATGGATGGTATCCATCCACTTTTTCTACCACGAGAGTGACTTCTTAGACTAAATAGTAAAAATTACCTGAATTTGGTACTGAAATACAGCACTAGAAAATTCTCTTTATTTTGTGATGCTTGGACACAATTAGTAAAAATGGCATTCCTAACAAATACAAGATTTTCAAAATCTGGGCTCAATCTACCTTTGCTGGAGACACATTTGGTTTCCTTGCATTTTCCTGAGACATATCAATCACAGTGGAAGCTGGATTTACCACACTGGAACTGCAAAAGAAACAATAATTCAGAGAATAAAACCTCACCTTTTGAGAAATCATAAATTATGCCTTCAAAATGGAAAGCTATCAGCAGGCTAGGAGAGGAAGCTGGCATGGATGAACAAGAAGGATTCTCTAGAGGATGATTCCCTATCCCAGGGACAGGACAGTGCCAGAGTGAGAGTAAGGCAAGAGTGAGTGGAGACAAGTGAGGTGAGCATGCTCCCTCCAGAACCACCACGCCCTTGGCTATTGAGTAAGGGCAAAAGAAGGTCATGGAGGACCTGGATATGGAGAGGAACAACCTGCTCAGACTTCCTGCTCCAGTGGCCTTGCCTCAGGCACAGGAGGTGAAGTCGCTATTGGCTGAAGCCTCTGTGCCCTGTTACCATCACCAGTTTTCTTAGTGGCGTCACAGTCAGGAGCTTGGAAAAATACCTTAGTTTGGTGGAGACAGGGGAAAGATTCCTGGTTTTCCCTAGGAAGCAAAGGAATCAAAGGGCTGGAAGGGAGGGGAACAATTTGTCCCCAAGGCCACGGAAACTTGACCAAGATTATTGTCACTAAAACCATGGGCTAAATGTTCCTATAGCCTCATTTTTCTTTACCTCTGTACTATAGTTGCTATTTTTACACAATTATTCCCAAGAAAAGGCTGAGCTCTTGAGGAAGCCATTCTTCTTTTCATTACTCTCCTCATCATTCCAGAAAGCATTACAGCAGATGAGCAGAAGGATACAAAATACAGCCTGATTATATAGAGACAAGAAAGGGGGAAATAGAGGATGGGAGGGAATGGGGAGGGAACAGAATAGGAATGTATAATAGAGCCAGAATTAAGGCTAATATATACATTACAGGAGTCTTCCATTCCTATATCTGTGCACAAACTTGAATAAAGCTATCTAGGAACTGAAGTGAAAAAAGAAACCTGGTCACTGACAGAATTCAGTCTCTACACAACAAAAACAATCAATAACTCAGAACCAGAAAGCAATTTCTCTTGAGTATCATTTTAAGAAGCCAGTGGGTGACATGAGGAACAACGTCCCTTCAGCTGATGCTATGCTCAGTTTCTCAGAGTGTTCTGCATAATCTTCCTTAGTAAATAAAGCAGTCACATAATCAGACCTGAGCCAAGTGCTGATGATTGGGGCTCTCTATGGAACACCCATCTTTTCCCACGATCTTTCTCCTTTTCTCTTCCCACTCACCAAGCCCAAAGGATAAGCAGAGTATCTACATTCTTCTCCCTCTGCTCCCTGGAATTCCAGTTCCTGTGCCTCCAGGCTGCCAGCCTCAATGTCCCATATTGCATATCATGTAGTCCCTACCTCCTAGAGATAAGGTCTCTCCCTTACTGAGCTCTATCTAGCTATGTATTTCATGTCTACTATGCAACCTCCTCTGTGTACACATATCTTACCTCTCACAGTAAACTGGGAGACCCCTCAAGAGCGTCTCAAACATCTTTATATCCCCTGCAGTACCCTGCACAGTGCCAAGTACTTAATTGGTGAATGGCTAAATAAATGAAGGACAATTGGTCCAGTGCCAGGAGAAGCAGCAACAGATAGTAGGCAGTAGTAAAATCCATGTTATTTGCCAAACTACAGTGAGGCAGATTATTTAGGTATTAAACAAAATGCGTTTCTGCTATTCAAAAAGATAAATAGAGGAAGAAACAAAACAGTCAGAACACACGGTCAGACACTAAAATACTAGAACCACACAGGAGTCATTGGGTTACCTTGTGGTTGGGATAGGGGCAGATTGGGATGAGGATGGGCTATTCAGTTAAAGTTTACAGTCTCCTTAATAGGAGAAAGTTAAAACAAGAGTCTTACACCTCAAATTTTGTCTGAAAATGCAGCTGCTTCCAAGTAGCTTTGTTTCTCTCAAGAAACGCTCTAATGTTTCCCTTGTCTGTGTTTTACTGGGCAGTCAGTACAGCAATCAGTTTATTCTCAATTGGTCCTTGCAGCATCTCTATGAGTTATCTATCATTCTCTCCATTCCACTTATAAGAAAATTGAGGTTTACAGAGGTTAAGTAACCTGCTTGATGTCACAAAATTAGCAAAAGAGATGGGGATTTGAACCTAGGTATGTCAGACTCCAAAGACAATCACGGTAATGGCTAGGCCATACTGCTTCTGGTTTCTGGCATTATAGCAGTGGTTTGTGGCAAGAGGACTGGAGGCAAGTCTGCGTGATTCTTCCTCCGAGGTACTCCCACATCTGCCTCTTTCTTTCCATCTCTACTGATACCTCCTTTATTTCTGTCAACTGTCGTGGCCTCACATCTGGCTTCCTGACTCCCAAGTTCCACTGTCCTAATAATCCCTTCCACGTTCTACCACTACACTGGAATGGTCCAAAATGTAACTTTGATGGTGTCTTTCTTCTGTTCATTACCTTTGCAGGATCCTCAAGGCCTGTGGAATGAAGTCTGAACTGCTTAGCAAGGTACTGGAGACCATCCACCATCTGCCCCAGTATACCTTCCCATTCTTCCTTTCCATTAACCCTTCATGCTAAACAAAATGGTTAGTCTACTTACTGCCCCAGAAACTCACCAGACTCTGCTGTTTCCACTTAACCTATTCCCCAGGCCCTCCCTGTAAGTGTTCTCTCTGCTTTCTTTGTCTACCCAAATCATCCCTTATCCTCTTCTAGCTCAGTTCAAATCTAACCTCTTGTATCAACCTGGCTAGGATTAAGTCTGTCTTGCCTCAATTATTGCAGCACGTTTTATTGGTACTTTGGATTAGGAATTTGCTTTCTTCCTGGCACTATTTGCTGTCATGTGGTCGTATCTTCATAAATAGGTGCATTATTTTTTGCTAAGAGAATATAGTCTTTTAGTAGCCAGATACTGTGTCTTCTGTTTCTTAGAATTCCTCTTGGAGGGTAGTAGACTGTGTCCTGAATAAAAAAGATACTCATAACATTCCATATGATAAGATTTTTAAACTATGAAGCAAAGCAAATTCCACATCCTGTGTTCTGTAATTTTCTTCCCTCAGGCACTCTTCAAAAAAAAAGGACCTGCAACACTAGAAGCAGCACTCAGATAGAATTAGTTTACTTGGTTAGGAAGATTATTAAAATATTAGACTACGGTATTGGCATCAGAGTGCCCCTCCTAAAAGCATCTTCATTTTAATGCAAGTCTTTGAAATCTTAACTAAAAAGAATAAATAACATCAGGTACTGTAGAAGGGTCACTGGGGGAAGAGGTTTTACAGCAATCTTAAAATTATACCACACAGGCAGCTGGACACCCCATCTGCCTGCTATATCCAGCACAAGGACCAACTGAGCACAAAGTGCCTGTATGCACAGTCATTTAAAAAAGTTTATTAACTTGCACCAGCCATTCTCTCTAAAACAGTTAAAATAGCAGATATGCCTTTTTCTGAGCTACTTCTTTTTAGCTTAAATGTTGTTTATAGAACCAGAAACAAATTCTCCAAGTATTATTCACTTGTTTTCTTGTTGTTTTGATCTCTTCGTACTGTGAGTTCCTTGGGGGCTCAAGCTGTGTCTCATCCCTAGCACCCAGAACTGTGCTGGCATGTGCTGGCACTTGAAGCATGAACAAATGAGCAAACAAATGAAAAGATGGCTCAGGGATGGAGTTGGGGAAGCAAATTAGAAAATATGTTATGTGAAGCCCTTCAAGTCAGTATTTCTTTAAGTAAAATATTACTTGTGAGTATACAGAGTTCTCCAGTGCTCCCACGGTTCAGCCTACAGAGTTGTTGAACACAAATATAAAAGTATGAGCCATTTTTATGTCACAGTGAAACTGTTGCTACTACAACTGATATGAGTAAATCTGGGATCTTATAGGATTAAGAAGAATGATTTTGAGAGCTCAATGCAAATGACTTTGTAGGTGAGGCCTCCAAGAAATGAAATCTTCACATTCTTAGATTTGCTATCAATCCTAGGAAAAAAATATCAGATAGGCTGTCTCAGATTGGCTCATCGCTACCCTGCATTTGGGAGCAAGCTAGGTACCTCACACTGATCTTAATACTAGGGGTAAATGTAACAGCTAATCCTTCTGGGAGAGGGAAATAAATACCTACGAATGAAAGACTTTCAGGAAAAAGAGCATTGTAGGGAAAAACTAAGAGCTAAAGATGTGGCTTTAATTGACTGGTTCCTATTCAACAGAGGGTGAGAAGGAGACTGGTATCAGAAGCATCTCTAAGGCACAGGCAATGAAGCACAAATACTTACCAAATAGTGTTTTAATTCTACCAAAAACAAACTTAGATGTAAATGTAATACAGTTTTGCTTGCAAGGACATTCATCATTTTCTCACCATTTTACAGGTAAGTGCCCAGAAGAAAACCTGCCAATGCCATGGACTGAAATATCACAGTGAAGGGTTTATCTTGTTCTCCCTGAACTCATTTGGGAGACATTTTCTAGAGATGTTTGATTACTAGACTTTATAAGCCTCTGCAGCAGCCAAGCCCCCTCACAAGCTAAGGAGGGGGCTTGGCTGCTGCAGAGGTTTATAGGCTACCTCCTGCCTTCTAGAATTTGAGGGCCCTCAAATTCTTCTCTATGTTTCTATAATCACCAGTGCCCCTGGGGATACTTCTGAAGTGAGAGCTTCTTAGTAAAACCAGAATAGGCCTACTTTCATAGTAAGGAAACATTATACCTCATTTACAGACAGGGTCCTGACCTACATGGGATGAGCCCCACCTTGGCTCAGCCATGTCATGTGGATTACTGTGTAATCCACGGTACATATTCAACAATCATTTGCCATCATGGAGGTCACACAATGTGCTATCAGCATATGGTTCATGGACCAGTATCCATCCATGAATTGTTTGTCACTGTTTCACAATGAGGTAAGTGCAGAAATGGAGACTGTGTGCTGAAGAACTATTTATAGCAAACATAATCCATGATATTATCTTTTGCATGCCACTGTTGTTTTCTGTATTTCATTTTTCTAGTATTTATTTTCATTATATATATATATATATTCTTTTTTTGAGACGGAGTTTCGCTCTTGTTACCCAGGCTGGAGTGCAATGGCGTGATCTTGGCTCACTGCAACCTCCACCTCTTGGGTTCAGGCAATTCTCCTGCCTCAGCCTCCTGAGTAGCTGGGATTACAGGCACGCACCACCATGCCCAGATAATTTTTTGTATTTTTAGTAGAGACGGGGTTTCCCCATGTTGACCAAGATGTTCTCAATCTCTTGACCTCGTGATCCACCCACCTTGGCCTCCCAAAGAGCTGGGATTAAAGGCATGAGCCACTGCGCCCGGCCCTATTTTCATTATATTTTATAAAAGGTATCAATCTGTGATGATTAGAAAAAAATTTAAAATGAAACAAAACTAGTCCTCTACTACAAAGGGTTTATGAAGTGCTGGTCCAGCCAACTCTGCCTAGCTGAAAGTTTGTAACCAGAACTAGAAATGCGAGCATTCAGGGTTTTCCCTTTGCTACTTCAGAACAAACCTTATTTTCTTCTCCTCTGCTTATAAACCTTTCTCTGGTTTCTTGTGCTCTGGGTGCAAACAAAGGTGGGTCCAGAAAGAATGCAGGTAGCTGTCAATGCTTGAAAACATGCTGGTTACTCACAGTGTTTTACTTCTTCATGTGTGGGACCCCCACAGAATTGTACCCACAACAGAAAGAATGAGCTTGCCACACAGCCTATTAGCACAACTCCAGAAACTACAATAACCAGCCTTATCATCTTACACACCCCAACTTCTGACTCCTGGCTAAGAAAATATTGACAGGTATTGAGTCATTCTATTAAAGTTCACTTAGTCTAAAAGTACAGGCCCCAAAATACACTTCACACACCCAGTTCACAAAGGTTAAAGTAGAGGTAAGAAACACTGCAGAAACTTGATACTGAGTAAGGTAGTAGTTTCTAATATTGAAAGAAGGAAGTAAAAAATAGCTCATTCTAACTTTCTGGATAATTACCACCCAGGCCATGTGTTATAGGGTTGGCCTTTAGTGAGCAAAGCATCCTGGATACATCTAACATGTTTATTCTTGTCTTCTCGACCATATTTCATCCATGTAATAATAAGCATTTTCATGCCACCTGAAAATGGCCAATTTTCTTTCTTCCTGAGAACGGCTGAGTGATTCCCACACCTTGTTTCATTTAATCTCACAACATCCTGGTGAGGCAATTCTGTTCTGATTTATAGATGAGACCTGAAAGACTTTAGTGCAGAGAAGGCAAAAAAGAGAGAGAGAGAGAGAGAGAGAGAGAGAGAGAGAGAGAGAGAAAGACTTGCCTGAAGTCACACAAGGAATGCAGAAAATAACGAAGATGCTAATCTTGAATGCTATATTATTAGCTTCAAGTTGAGGAAGAGTAGGAGAATACCCACCGGCCCCATGGTTCATGAAGAAAAAGTTAGGCTATGAGGACACTGGCACCTCTGTCCCTCAGGCCCATTGAGACAGAATGAGTTCCTGGAAGAAAGTTGGAAAGTCTGACCCAGATAAAATGTGGCATTAGGCTATTTGTCGCTGATGCTCCCAAATCACCTCCTTTCCCCTTCTGTGATAACTGTTCCCTCCTCTCTCAGCTGGTCAGTGCCCTCTAGTGCTCTCCAGTTCCCATCAAAGCCAGCTCTTAAGAGCTGCTCTCAGCTCCTTGGTGGTAAATCTAAATAACTATGTTCTCTCTCTCTCTCTCTCTCTCTCTCTCTCTCTCTCTCTCTCTCTCTCTGGGTTTCTTTAATATGGGAATATTTTAGGTCTCATATTTCTTTATGAAAGTATTCATTACATTAGAGAGTATTCCAAGTATTCATTACATTAGAGAGATTATAGGCAGGTGGCAAGTAGGGAGTCACGGGGAGGCGGTAAGGGTGTTCTTCACACTCTTACCTGGGCTTCCTGAAATATCTTGTATGTATGCAAGAACCCATGCTTTCACTTCTTGAGCACTTATTATGTGCTAATGGACTTCATTGGGAATTCTGTATTCACTAGCTAATTAAGTTCTCGATAATTCTGCTAGCAAACGATTAATATTATTATTATTTTAAAGTTGAGGAGATAAAAGCCTAAGGAGTTAAGTCAGTACTACTGCAAGGTCACATTATCAATTAGTGATTAACTATTAAGATGTTTTATCCCCAGCCAAGATGGTCTCTACAGATATAGAAGAATATTACAAGTAGTCCCAGAGGGAAAACAGTGCAGCCTGCCATTCATGGAAAACAAAATGATCCCCTTTTCCAAACAGGAAATAGATAAATAAAGGGTATCTTTAGAGTACCCATTGAGTCAGTATTCCATTATCCATGTGACATAACTTTACTCATATTTGACTTTGAAATGTATATCGGTACCTATATCATATACCATCCCTGACACCTATAAACTATGCTAGAAATATCCCTGTTCCCAGGTGTTTCAGCCTTGGACCTGACTTAGTGACCTCCCACCAGTAAATTCATCAACTTCATCCTGGTTGGAGACTTCAAATTGAACCAACTTCATTAATGAGCTGTAGATAAAAGGCAACTGCCCCCTCACTAAAGGGTAAGAACTATGCCCTCAAGAAACATACATCCATGAGAAGATCCTTAAATACCTAAAAACAAATCATTATGGTTTAAAAGGTTTATAGCAATGTAGCCCCACAATTAGCTGCTTCTTAGCAAGTATGCACAAATGTACATTTTGACTGGTCAGAAGATAACATGTGTGAAAAATACCACAAAAACCCAAGACTTTAATATTGAAGATAATCTATGTCCACAAGGGGCATTTACTGAGTATCTATCATGCAAGGTATTCTACATACATTATCACTAATTCTCACCATAGCTTTTCAGGTATATATTATCGTTCCTAGCTATAGTTAAGAATACAGACTCAGAAACATTAAATGTCTTGCCCATAGTCAAATGGCTAATAAATGGCAGATTCAGGAATTGAATTCACATCTGTCTAGTTCTTGTGCTTGAGGTTCTTCCATTGCACTAGGCTGTTACAATCTGAAAATAATTCATCTTTTCCCTAAAATGACTTATTTCCCTGTATTTATTTTGAAGGACCCCTTCATTACAAGGAGAAATCCATAGGAGAAATAAAAATAGCTCTTGCTGGTGATAGAAGAAATCACCATTTAACATTTTTATTTTATTTAAGATGGAGATTTGTTGGAAATTCTGGAAACTGAGAAAGAGTACCACTCAGGCTTTGTCTTCACCAGGGCCCTGAGTTCTTTCTTACACTGCCCCCTTCCCCATGCCCATGACTCCAATCTGGGATTTATACTCATAGCCTGCCATTCTGCCCATGGAACACCCCAGGCCATGAGAGCCACATGCAGCAGCTCCCCCGAGAAGCTTTGCCTTACCTTAGGCTTACTGGTGCTGCATCGTCTTCTGGCTCTTCTACAACGCCAGCCAGCTCTGGAGGAAGGAAAGCATCTTTGTTGACATTATTCACCCAGCTTTCCTTTGCCCCATTTGCTCTGTCTTCACTCTGCTCAGCTGAAACAGGTAACAATAAAGACAGGAAGGTTATCTCTTACCTCCATTATCTACAACTCTCTTATCAGCTCTAATCGCTGAAGGCTTGAACCTGAACCTCAGGCCTTCCCAGTGTGAAGGCAATCACTGGGTCCAAGTACTTGATCAGAATTACATGAAAGAGAGAAGTCAGTAAATTCCCATGACATTAGATTTCTCCAAGCAGAGTATCCTAAGAGTATGAGCATACCTTTACATGTGCAAGTAACTCCAGAGACCACTAAAGGAAAATTCTGACTGCCTCTAGGTTAATCTGAACTAAGTTGGGGTCAGGTCTAAATGTGCACGGCCATGGGATGCTCAGGGCAGGAAGTCCTCAGTGGAACAGAAGCACCATCATTACCAAGCATTTACCGAATATCTACAATGTGATCAAGTATCTTGTATGTGCTCTAAGATACAAAGGGGAACAAATGATGATGGTCTAGGAATGTCTTCCTCCGTTGCCTTCTCCTCCTTCCCAGTCTCTACACATCCAAAACTACATACTCTTCAATTCCAGCTCAGATATCAGAGCCTCCATAAAACCTGTGCTCTCACTTCACAAAATAACCTCTTTTGCCTCTGAACATCCAGCACTCACTCTTTACCTGAACCTCTCTGATCATTAGCATCAACCGAATGATAACTAACTACCAGGTCGTTGCTGAGTACTTTGCATGCATTATTCTATGAGGTGGGAGCTATTTTCCAAGTATACAGATTTGAAAATTGAGGATCAGAAAGTTCAAAAAACTTGCCTAAGGCCACATAGCCAGTAAATGCCAAGAATACTTTCATCAATATTAAGGATGAAGGAGTGCTGAAGCTTCCCGTTTCCAAATCCCCACATTCCAGGATAGTATCCCTCACTAGGATAGGTCCTGTTACACATAAGTCTAGTTTCTTCAACTCAAAATGGAGTCCACAGTACTAGCCAGTATCCCTCAAGATTTCTGAAGGTCTGGGTGATTTTGAAAAGCAAGAGGTCTGCAAGCAATGTATTGTACATACTAAGCAGTCAGTCCTTATCTGCAAGGAGTATAGCACTGATTCAGAAATACTCTGAAATCCTTGCTCTGTCATTTGCCAATTATATAGATCATATAATTGGGCAAGTTACTTAACTTCTCTGAGCTTCATATATCCCATATATAGAATGGGGGAAATTATGCCTATCTTGCAGGATTACTGTAACAATGGGAAATAACAGATTAAATGCATATCATATATTAAATGCTCAAAAGGTGATAGCTATTTTTCTTATCAAGTATAAGGTAGACCTTGACAAGGTTTTGCAAGGACTAATCCAGAGTTAATAAGAGAGAAGACACCCAGTAAGTATTTAATGAACTCAACAGAATTTTAAACAAGCCCTTAAAATATTGCCTTGGTCAGGCATCGTGGCTCATGTCTATAATCCCAGCATTTTGGCAGGCTGAGGCAGGAAGACCGCTTGAGGCCAGTAGTTTGAGACCAGCCTAGCCAACATAGTAAGACTCTGTGTCTAATAAAAAAAAAAAAAAAAAAAAACGTAAAACAACAACAACATAAAAATATTGCCATGATATAAGGAATATGCACTATCATAGTAACTCTTCTGGCCTAGGAACCATGCTACAAAAGCCCATCTAGTGTAGGGTGCTGACTGCCTTTGCCACTTTTAAATGGGCATTGCCATGATAGTATAAATCCCATCAATTCAGTAGATGAGTGAGGAAGTAAAGATTTCCTCCCAAACCTTTAGGCAAAAGTGGGTTTTTGGTTGGTTGCCATTTTTATTTCCCCCTCTTTTGGCTTTCACTTTTAAATGTTACTATTGCAGGCCACAGACGTGGCAGGCAATGAGCAGGTGAAGAACCAATGGAAAAGTGTTCAAAAAGTCCTGTGTAGCTAACAGGCTTTTGAATGTATCACTGTGGGCCACAGAGAAGGCTGGAGTACATAGCAGGGAGATGCTGTGTCAGCTACTTCCTCCTCAAAACAAAGTTGGTGCCTCATTGGACTTGAAAATTGTTCCTATGTAGCTTAGTTTATTTTTGTTTAATCAAATAAATAAGAAGAGTTTTCTATTAAAAAGATGCCTTTACAGTCTCTTAAATAATATACTTGGTTAATTAAGAAAATACCACTATATGTTAAGATCACTGAACAGAGAGGCTGATATCTTTTTTGTCTAAGCCCTTAACTTTACTCAGAAGATTCTGAATCTTCAGAGTTAAAAGCCAAAGACGAGATGGTAGATCCCTTACAGGCCCAAGTATCTATGCTACTACAATTCAACACGGAACCTAAAGGGCTCCTATGTTCCTCTATACCACACTGAGTCACTTAGCTCTGACCCTCATCCATCCAAATTCAAAGCAAGGGAATTTTAAACTAGAGGGCCACATGTTACAAGAAGCATACCTCCAAATGATTTTCATCAGCAGACTTCTGACATCATTCCCTTTTCCCAGCTACTTGTAAATGCACGAGCCAGGTCAACTCACCTGCTACCTGGAGCCTCTTCTTTCTCATAGATGCTCTGATAATATCTGCGCCATGGACTTTGTCCCTGTGCCTTTTTGCCTTGGCTTCATAAAACCATTGGCCGCTCATATTCTTCAGCTGCTGGTCATCCTTAATTTTTTCAGGCAAATGTCTACAAAAGGAAAAGAGATTTAGTTTGCTGAGAACCCACAGTAAATAAATGAGTTCATTGTGACACTGCATAGAGACGTGTAAACATACAGCTAAAATGAAGCTTTGGTATTTCAGATGATAACAAAAACCTCCCAGATGACTAACAAATGTATGTTCTCCTTTGACTGAAGAGTCAGAGAAGGCCAACATTTTTTCAAATAAAGGTTTAATCCATGATCCCCATATGATGCCTGAAATTTCTCAAGAGCCGATTCACTTTTTGGCTGCATTCTTCAGTGCCTGCTGTTCAAATGCAAATATCCCAGGGAGGGATAATATGGCAGGCTTCCCTAAGCCTTGGCTTCCTTATCCATAAAAAAAGCATTAATAGTAACCTTTGGCCTTTAAAATTAGGGTTTCTATAAGGTTCAACTAAGAGAATTCATGTAATAGCTCTCTGCACATCCCTGGAACCTAATAAATACTGGATGGGGTAGGCATTAGCTCGTCATTCCTTTCTATTTTGCATGATATGAGTTTATCAGAGCTTTTCCTAGAAGCCTGTGGAGGAGGGGTGATGTCTCTCATACTTATTATTAAAGAAAGGAACCTTTAAAAGGCTACTGGAGTCAGGAAAGGCCAAATTTGAGGAGGAGGGTACACAGGCAAGTTCCTTTTGTGCAGATACTGCTGTTAACAGTTCCACAATCATTCATGCATACTGAAAAGCTAAAACCTAAAGAACAAATGAGATATAGTCTGCTCTCCTAAAACTTCCCTAAACACAATGTTCTAATTAACAAGTCTTAACCTCTGCATCTCTCTGTTCATCTCCATAACATAAAAAAAATCACAACATCTCTCTTTTCTTATTTATAGAGATATACTTAGAATAAAGTAGAATAAAAACTGTAAGGGAACACTATACTCTTGGAAGATAATGTGCTATATAAATCCAAGAGAGTTTTAATATTGTCATTTAAACTAATATGTGCTCTTCCTAAAGTAGCAAATCTAAGTGTTTCAGGCAGAGAATGTGAATAGGCCACAGAGGTAGCAGCACTGCATGAGGGTTGCACATAGGCATACCTGGGAGTGTGAAAAAGACGGGGAGCTGTTACCCCAGGTCTAGCAAGGATGTCTCCTCTCTCCCAAGCATGCCTGGAGAGTGTCCTTCCACCCAGAGTAAACTCTTACAGGAACTTCCTCTCCTTTCATGACAGCTCATGTATAAACCCTGACAGGGAGAATGTCATCACTTCATAGTTCTCAGTCAGCAATGAGATCGTGGTTTTTATTAAATGTTTCTAATGGTTTCACACTGCCTAAGGTTTTCAGCAGAGCAAACAACTGCTGGACTGTTGGTGAACCTTTGCTTTTTCCTCCCAGAAGGACAAAGTTTGAATTCTATTCCAGAAGGGAGGAGTTCTACTTCTCCCTGGTCAGACAGTGAGTTCCTGGGGACAGGGTCTGCACTCACCCCATCTTTGCTTAGTGTCTGGAAAATAGGGGGTAGTTATTCAGTGCTTGCAGAGTGGAGGAATATCAGATGAGGCTCCTGACTGCCTAAAAAGGTTTCCAGTTACCTTTTCAGATTCATTTTCCAGCACTCACACCCATACCCCACTTGCCAGCACACTCGACTTCTTACTTTTCTCCAGTGCTCTTCTGTATTCTCTGTAGATGACAGAGGCAGGAAGTTGTAGCAGAAAGACTCTGGGTTTTGAAGCCTCCCAAAATTACATCCAAATCTCAGTCCTGACCCTTCTTCGATGTGATCTTGGGCAGTTTGCTGAACTCCTCTAAGTTTTAATCTCTGTTTTTAAGGATCAGGGAAAATAAGACCTACCCTGCAGGACTTCCGAGATGATTGAGATGTTTAACTGAAAATATTTAATACTGCCTAGACCTTGGTACAAAGCCAGTTAATGGGAAGTCTCAAGGGATGTCTTTCCCTCACTTCTCTGTCCAGCCCATTGCTCCTCATTCTTTGGATCCAGCTCAAACACTGCCTCACTGGGAAGCCTTCCCTAACTCACGAGGGCACGGTTATTACAGTTTCTCCTTTTCCATGCTCCCATAGCACCTCCACTCCAGCCCTTACTACATCACATTCCAATGATCTGTTTTACTCACTAATCTGTGGACTTTGCAAACTCCTTGAAGGCCAGGACTATGTCTTAATCACCTTTGTAATGCCAGCACCTAGCATGGAGCCTGGAACAGAGCTGATACCCAGTAACTATTGAGTGAATAAATCAATGAACAAATACATGCTCAGCAGCCATCCTGTCAGAGTCAGACAAGAGATCAAGAAGATCCTGTCACTGCTGAGGTTAAGTGAACCATGCCCGATCACAATGTCAGTGTCTCCTCCTGATGCAGTAGGACATGCTCATCTCTCATCAGAACAGGAAAAAGCATCATGAAACATGGTATCGGTCAGCATTCTTGTTGAAGGAGGCCACAAATTCTAATAGCAGAACAACTCCCAGTTTCTCTTTATGAGATCATTTATTTTTGTTTTTCAACTAAAATGCACTTCGTGAAGATTCTTGTGCAACTCTTGATCTGTTCCTGCCTAAATGACTGTCTACAAGCCTATCATCAATGTACAATGAGCACAGGTTGTATGTCAACTCCCTGAAACACATGGCCCCTATAAAGGCTGGTAGCCATTCTAGTAAGGAAAGGGTTTCTGGCTCACTTGTTTTAAAGTGGCAAAATAACAGGAAATTCTTTCAAATGTAGTTAAGTACCACTTACATATTTCCTAACATGACTATCGCTACTAGGTTTAATAATCAATTTCTCTTTCTTAGTCACCTGTAATATCTTATAGATAAATCCATATGTATAACACATCAAAGTTTAAGTTTTGTAAAGATGTGGATCATTTTTAAAATTCCACTATCTAGTGCTGCTGTTAAAATCTCATCTTCCAGCCCACGTGCCTCTCTCATTTTTTCTGAACTCTAACTGCGTCAACCAAATGAGCATTTGATTCTCTAATTATGGAGCCATCTAAATGAAGAGGGAAAGGGGCAACTTTCTTGGGACTGACACTTATCCTTTACCATCCTCTCCACACACACACATTATTTTTAGCAGAGAGCTAAGTAGAGAGAAGATACTCAGTAAATACCAGTGGACTGGTGGGCAGAAGTGAGGGCTGAAGAAGAGCACTCAACCCAGAAAGGACACTGGCCTGCTGGCCTCCCAGGCAAGACATCCTGGTCATTCACCCATTCATTCCTCCATTCCTTCTGCTAGCAAACAGTATCTGCTTTGTGCTGAACCACACATCTGACATTTAACATGCTTCATATCATTTCATCCTCACAATTTCACCACGTCATTCAAAGAATCTCACCCGTTGCAAAAGATGGCCATTTAACCTCCTCTGTATGCTAAAAGCCATATCTAAACCCTGTCTGCTATTTGTTCACTGACTCATTAATTCCCTATCACATACCAGGCATCTGCTTGGAATTGCACATTAAAAATTCTGTCTACAGCCCTAACTACCAATGTCAACTCCTTTTCATGCCAAGAATGTGAGCACTTACAGAGGAAAGCCAGAAGAGCAGCCCTCTGGGCTGGATTCAACACCTTTGCCCTCAGCCCACCCCTTTTCTCCTTGTGCTCACTTATGTAGTATATCTCAGCTTCCAGCTACTCAACAGGACTAGACAAAGCTCGAATATCATCTGCAGGACCTGGTTGATAGCTTCTAGTCAACTCTGGACAGCTGCTGGCCAGATAGGTTGACTGGTTCATTCTCCAGCCTTTCTTTTTTCATCTTGTCCAGTATATTTTGGGCAAGATATTTAAACTGTGTGATTGAGAGGTGCTCTCAGATGTTTGGTTTGAATGTGAGAGCTGAAAGGGAGCTTAACTAGTTACAAATGGTCTCACTTTCTAGATAAAATGATTGAGGCCCACAGAAGTTAAGAGGCTTGCCCAAGGTCACAAAGAGCTGGAAGCAGAAGCCAGCCTGACTCCCAGCCAACATGCTTTCTACTGTCTGATCCTGCCTCAGAGAGCCAGCCATGATTTCAGTTTCTAAGATGGCTGTCACACTTCACTCTTTCTCCCAAGGAACTCAATCTTTGATGAAGAAACTGAAAACCAATACATGGAAAACAAACTACAAACATTCCTTACAGTGGAAAACAAAAAATACACATCTTTTTCATGAAACATCATAGATCAATGCAGTCTGCTGAGAGGCAGCACAGTGTATGGAAAGTGCACATGCTGTGACATTGGATCAGCAAGGCTCCAATTCTGCAGGGCACTTACCCTCTTCAACCCTATCTCCTCATCTGTTAAGTGCATTCAGCTACACTGTTTTCAAGATGAAACAGGAAAATCTATGTGAAGTTCCATGTACAGTCCCTTGACAAATATTCGTTCCTTCCCCTTTGCTGTGACAGTAAAACAGCATGAGAGGTCCTAGAAATTAGTTCTTCAGTGACAACTGCCTTCATTTAAAAAAAAAAAAACAACAAGGTCTTAAGGAAGCAGCTGAGAATCATAAGATGTGGTGGCGGTTGAGATCGTATCTACTGCAAAAACGCCCATCGCCATAGATGTGGTTGTGTGTAAACGGGAGTGGGGGACACAGTGCTGGTGGTGGTGAACAGACAGACATGAGCAGCAATTTCCTGCTGGCAGTGTGATGCAAAGTACAGGAAACGCCACCTTTTCAGTGTGTGATTTTCAAACCATAAAAGACTAAAACTACGTATGTGTTTGTATGGTGATGTTTCCTTAAAGGTGTGGCAGGGCAGCAGGAGAGAAGACACAAACAGGGGTGGAAGTGAAAGAAAGAATCCACCATGATGTCTCCTTCACTGCCGGTCTGTGAAATGTTTCCATATGGGAGTTAGGGAAGCAGGCTACGTAGCAATACATGGTAATAACTGAGTCCGGTACTTGTGGCTACAGGTAATGGAGCAGTATAAATGACCGTGTGGCAGCAACAATGATCTGGAACTGTTATCTTCTCAGCTATACCCCAGAGACACTCCAGTGACCATTTCCCTGGGTACAAGTTCATGTTCTACCATTAACAGACTGAGTGATTTAGGAACTGTATATGTCTCTGTGCAACACTCATTTATCCTATCCATGAAATCAAGATGCAAGGTAACGAAACCTTTTTTTAAATTAGCTGGATGTGGTAGTGCACACCTGTGGTTTCAGCTACCTGGGAGACCGAGACGGGAGGATCACTTGAGCCCAGGAGTTCAAGGCTTCAGCAAGCTATGATTGCCCCACTGCACTCCAGTCTGGGTGACAGAGAGAGACTCTGTCTCTAAAAAAAAAAAAAAAAGGGAAGTAACATAAACTAAGTCATCTCCAAAGTATCTTGAATGAGTTTGGCTGTGAACAAGTCAAAGTACTGGATATATTAGAAATGGCAACATTTCCATGTGAATGCCAGATCTCACCTAGAGCCATACTGAAAAGTATCCTACAGTGGTGCCTGGTCTTGCGGGAAACAGTGGTGTATGCAATAGTGACATCCTGGTGGTTATGGGAGAGTTACACTCCAAAGTCTGTAAAATATTAATATTTAAAAGAAAAGTCTGAATGTTAGCAATAAATTGATGTTTTGATTGGGCTGATATTGTAATGATGTTTTGATTGGGCTGATATTGTAATTACATAATGTGTTTCTAAGCTGAATAAGCCCCAGGAGGGGTGAAGCATTGTAAAGTCATGTGAGGGAAACAAAATTTAGATTTTAAATTTGCAATTGATAATCCATTAAATGGATAAAGGCCATTAGATAGTAAATTCCTTGAGAGTTGGGGCCATGTTTTCAATCACCCTAGAATTTTCTTCATATCATTGTCCAGAGCATTTTCTTGTACTTAATAGGTGCTCAATTAAGTTTTATTACATTAAATAATTAAGAATTTTAGGAGTAATTTCCTAAGGAATCAGTCTATTAACTAGAATCTTCTGTCCCTTTTGGGGAGTATAGGTAGAATGGTGAATAAAGGAATTAAAATGTATCTATCACATATTATGTGCCAGGAAGATTAAACATTATTTTTAATTGACAAATAAGAATTGTATATATTCACAAAGAAACAGTAATTTTTTTTATACATATAACATATAGTGATCCAGTCATTGTAATTTTGTATCCTTTACCAAACCTCTCCCTATCTCTCACTTCCTAAAAATTATGTTACTTAATCCCAACTTTAATCTTTTAATTTAGTATTATGGTCATGCCCACTCTGAGTTGAGGGTCAAAGAGGTTAAATAACTTGCCCAGGGAAACACAGTTCATTAGTGGTGGGAATGAGACGCAAAGTCATGTCAGTTTTAACTCCAGTTCCATGCAGCAGAGTTTTTTGTCTCATGATCAAACCCATACTGTTCCTTTCTGAAGAAATAACAACAATGAGCCCCATAGGGCAGAGGGAAAAGCACTGGCCCAAAAGTTTTTCTCATAACAGCTTTGGCACTGACTTGCTGTGTGACCCCGGGCAAGTCATTTACCCTCTCTGGGCTTTATCTTCTTATTCTGTAAAATGACTGACATGGATCAACAACTCAAAAACTCTCAGAGTTGTTGGGCTCTGGTGGAAGAGGCCAAGACAAACAGCAACAGAATGGAAAAGGTGCTGACAAACAACAGCCCATGGAGTAACATTTTCAGAGATCCAGTTCCGCTTTTACCACCCCAGGAGTAGAACAGACTCCAAACCATCCCCACAAGTCCCTTCAGGCCTAAAGCAAAGAGGGGGTCAGGCCATGAGTTAGGCCTTTTTCGGGGTCCACAAGTCATAGGTCTGCTGTCTATCTATACACAGTCACTGCTCCCCAGCCCCAGGGTCCTGAAGCTGCCCACAGCCAAGTCCACATGAGGTACATGGTGCCTAACTAGAAAGTCTCTTGGGAAAGTGATGGTAGATACAGCTTGACTCATACCAGGTTTTTCAGCAACGTAAGCCTTCTTCCTATCATTCATTCACAAAGGCAGAGCACAAAGGCAGCACCAGTGGCAGCTGCTGGGGCACCATCCAAAACAACAGACAGAAGGAGCATCTGCAAAACCAGCACTAGGAAGGGACATACACCATTTTTGCTGTAGTTGTAGACTGGCTGATGCCAGGGGGTACACACTCACACCTCTTACAAGGCCCAGTTCCAGGAAGAACTTTGCATTTTTCGAGGATATTTTCATCAACCAATGCCAAGTGCCCAAGAAACACCTTCACTCTATTCAGGCAGAATCACAGAACTACAGGCAAGACTCAGCAGCTTGGAATCCCAGGTGCTGAGAAAAGATAGAAGGGAGGGAGGGAAGGAAAACAGGTTCTCTCCTTGTAAGTTATCTAAAAGGGGAGAATTGCAGACCATAAATAACACCTCCTGAACACAAGGAATCAAAGGTACTTACACCTCTCCAAAATGCACAGGTCCACATCCTGAGGTAGAAAGAGGGACTCAGTGTAGTCCCAGCTTTTCTATTTTCTAAGTTCTTCCCCCATCTTGTCTTTTGAGAGGATAAACGAAGTTCCATTTCCCCTTATGCTGAAAGAATCAGTATTTTCTCTATGCTCCCCCAGCTCCACCCTTACTCCTAAATGGGTGCAATGGTCCCTGCTTTGCCCAATGTCAGGGTTGCTGTGAGGAACATAAGAGGATAACATTCATGAAAGGGCTTTATAAATTTTCATGAAAGGGTAGAGAATTAATGCTACCAAGAGGCTCTAATGCCCGGGTTAGTGTCAATCCTTCACCTCTCCTGGGGGACACTGTTCAAAGCTTACCACTTGCTGAGAAGAAGCAGCAGAGCCCCATCCAGGTGTATAAAGCATTGCAAGTGACCTGGGAGGAGCAGCATGATCCCCACTACCTACAGCCACTGCTGTTATCACAGTTCAGTATCCTACTTCACACCATGACAGTCAGCCCCTATCTCATTGTCAGGTCCTGGGATGGCCTTTCTGTTACTGTTTACTCAGAGAGAGGAGGTGAAGTTAACAAATGAGTACCTAAGACTGGGATTTAATTCTCACTTCTGACATCTACCAGTTGTGTGATACTGGGCAAGTCACCTGACTTGTCTCAAAGTCAACTTCCTCACACATCAAATGGGGTAATTATATCCCACTCCACTCCACCCACCAACTGCAAAAGAATGTGTGAGCTCATAAAATATAATGGGCATGTTAAGCCCTTTGCAACTTGTTAAATACTATCTATATAGAAGTTATTTTAGTAGCCATAATCAGACATTCTGTAGTGTTTGAAGTGAACTTTATAAATTGTCCATGTTAAATCAAGGTCAAAGTATGATAAATGGTAAAAATAAAGCCATGATTCATGGTCCTGTGTCCCAGGAAGCAAGAATATAGCTTATGCTTCTTTTAGATAATTCCTGGTGTGAGAATCATAAAATTAATACTAACTTACATTCAGGAAACCTGTCACTGTCTTCAAAGCCCAAGGTTACACAGGCAGTAAATGGAAGGCCTAGACAAAGTCAAGTTCTTCAGCATCCTAGTCTAGTGCTTGTTTGACCACAAGGTGAATGAAAGTAGCAGGAATATTGACATGAAGCATTTGGGTTTCACCCAAGAAGTATAGTGTGTCAAAGTTGCCACTCTTCTTTATTGGCCCCAAGACAGATAAAAATTGGCTCAGAGAATACTTTCAATTGTGCTATTAAAACCAATTCCAACATTTCTGAAAGCATGCAGAAATGTGAGCTACTTTATTTTCTTTTCAAAATTCTAAAAATTTTTTAAAATTCTAATTTGGTTTATGATTCAGTTAAAAGTAAGTAGATCTGTGTTTTTTTAACTGGATAGAAATTCACACACACACATGAATGTAGATGTATGTGGTTGTATACATTTAATTTTTATCTTAGTATTTAATAGTAAGTTAAAAGAATTTAGTCAGGTTTTTAGTCAAGACCCTATTTCTGATAAGAGTCCAGCAGAATAAATTAAGAGGCACCAGAGAAGAAAAATGTTTTGTCCAGGAAGTAAACCTAAAATTGGAATACATAAATTCAGTCTCCGAGTCAGAACTACCACTTATGTTGGGAAAAAAAAAAAACAAAAACCAGTGTCCTATTTTTGTACAGACGGCCTCTTCCTTCCCTAATGCCCAAGGGCTTCTCTAGCCTCTTACCTGACTCTCTCTTCTTCGGCCCTCTTCAGAACAGCATCCCGCTGCAGAACCTTCATGATGGCCTCTTGTTCCTCTTCAGTCAGGAAACCTAAGTCAATCATTTTGAAAAGTGCATGCAAAAATAATAGCAACAAATGTGGCTCAAAATTCTCAAGGCCGAACAACTAAAAATGCAACCAGGAAGATCAAAAGACACAAAAATGAAATATCTTGTTCAGTTCTGTGGCAAAAGTCTTATTGTAGCTCAGCAAAAGTTTCGGGCAGCTGATAGCAAGATCCTAAGTAGTCTTCCCCATGAGGAATTCGTGGTCCATGGGATAATGTTGAGAAGAGGCTCTCAGAAGGATGCTGTATTCCGTGCCAGACAGGTCACTTGTTCCTACAATGGCTCCCAGCACGCTCCCTCTCTGGTCCAGTCTTAGACACAGGTTATTCTCTCTCTGCTCCCGTTGTCAATTCATAAGAGGCAGCAGAATCAGAGCATCACCTACCTGGGGAATCATGAGACAGCAAACACCAGTGAGAGTCAGTTCCTATAAATACTGCTCATTATTACAAAATTTTTAAATGGCCAGGTAAGATGGTCTCTGAGATGAAGAAAACCAGTTCAGCCGGCTTTCTGAGCAAATGGTAAATGGGTCACGAAACATGCTTCAACCCAATTCCAGACTGCCAAGATGAAGAACGCACAAAAATGCCTGTCAATGTTTAACAATCCACCTGAATAAAGGATGGTTGCAAAAAGGAACTGGTTCTTTCTCTGAAAACTCCTGGGATGCTAGGCTAACAAGTCATGTTAAAGGTCAATAAGACCAGGAGGTCAAGTAAGAAACTAGAAATAAAAATTTTAAATGCTCACCTCTTCTCAAGTAGCAACATTCCCCGTACTATATATGTGGCTCCATAGTAACAGGAGAACCAATATTAGGTAGAGGTAGTTTCCAGAAGAGTGAGAATTGTTATTCTTCATCCAGTCCCACTGCTAATCTTTGTTGACCTAGAGGAACTTAACAAGCTTGGCTCCCTCCATTTCTTAGGAGAAAAATACCTACCTGTACGTGTATATAAATGGGGGGAAGGAAGAGGCAGAATTTCAAAACACCTCGCCATCCAAAGTGAGGATTGTTAAGTGGCACCATGTGCAAGAATCCTATTTTCTTTGAAGCAGCTTAAATACATATGTAATGGGAAGGAAGTGAGAACTGAAGAATGACACAACCAGACAGAAATTCAGAGGTGATCTACTCAAGGTTGGGGTACTTTTAACAAGTGCAGCGCTGCACATACAGTAGACACTAAAAATCTTAAGTAAATTTTAAAGCAGCCCCACTTAAGAATAAAAGAGTATGTACACTAGTGAATACAATTTATAAATTAATTACTTGAAAAATAGAATTACTGGGAAGTTCTTCTACCACTTGCTAGCTATAAGTTCTTGGGCAAGTTACCAACCACTGTGAGGCTGTTTTCTCATTTGTACTTGACATTAGGATGTCCCCCATAGATTGTAAAGATTAAATGAAATAATGAATATAAAAAGAACACGTCTTGCATTCTGCAGCAAAAATAGCTACTAAAAATATGTCCTAGCTTCCTCTGAGTTCACACTTTTGTTCCAACAAGCTGAATAAGACTATAATTAGTTACATATTTCTCTTCTGTATTATGTCTCTTTCTGATCTTCCATGAAGTTTGGGTTTCATTGACAGGGAATCTAATGACCTTTGTATAAATTTCCCCTAGCTCTTTGTATACTCCCCACAGTAATTGCTCAAATAAATATTAAGAAATTACTTCATTTTCTTTTTAATTTGTATGTGTTTGTATATGCTACTACCTGCTTGTTCATCTTAAAAACTACTTATCCTTCAAGACAGATCAAAGTTACCACCTCCATGAAGCCTTCCGTAATTTCCAGACCCAAAGTTAAAGCTGTAGCAGATTCAATGATTATTCATAACTCTTCACTCCCTCCCTGTAACAGAACTATATAATCATGTTCCCACTAGAGTAAGCAAAGAATTCATCCCTATCCTCCTAATGCTGGGCTTGGCCTGTGACTTGCTTTGGCTGATGGAATGTTAGCAAATGTGATGCAAGCGTAAGCTCTAAATGTGCTTTTGTGGTTTGACCTGGCTTCTTGTACTCCTGCCACATGCCATGAGAAAAGCTTGTCCCAATTATCCATTGCCCCTTCATTCTAAGTTCCAGAAAGAGAGTTACAAGGACAGACCTGAGCCTGACCGCCCTGAAGCAGGCATCCCCACTGACCTACAGATGTAAAAGGAGGAACAAAATATTTGTTGTTGGAAGCCACTAAGGTTTGGGAGTTGTTATACGACACTCCTGCAGCAGGAACCTGCTGATACAAAAGGTTTCTCCTCCATATATACATCCACTGCTGCAATTATCTACTCTCAGTCTCTCCCACTTGACTATGAGTCTCTGAATGTAAATAAATAAACAAATGAGCAAATGAATAAATGAACCTGATCCAAATATACAGTATCACCAGAAGATGGCTATCTCAGTTCTTTCCTTCATGTGCAGTAACTTCCTTAGATCTCAAAGGCTGGCAAGAGGCCAGGTGCGGTGGCTCAAGCCTGTAGTCCCAGCACTTGGGGAGGCCGAGGCGGGTGGATCACGAGGTTGGCAGATCGAGAACATCCTGGTCAACATGGTGAAACCCCGTCTCTACTAAAAACTACAAAAAATTAGCTGGGCACAGTGGCGTGTGCCTGTAATCCCAGCTACTCAGGAGGCTGAGGCAGGAGAATTGCCTGAACCCAGGGGGCAGAGGTTGTGGTGAGCCGAGATCGCGCCATTGCACTCCAGCCTGGGTAACGAGAGCGAAACTCCGTCTCAAAAAAAAAAAGGCTGGCAAGAAATAGATTTAGGCCACGTACTGACCCAGGTTCCCAATGAGGCCTTACATTGCCATTTTGTTTAATGGGAGATTTTAAATTCAAGGGATGGGGGACAGGAAGAAAATAACAACAACAACAAAAACCTTAGGTCAGCTAGCAGTGGTAACTGGCAGGGTTGCTGAAATGGACAATGTTGGCTTCCATACCTTCAAGTAGAATATAGCTAACTAGTGCTTCCGTGTCAAAGCCTCTAAGGGTTAAAAGTTCTCCCTTAAAATAGGCTGTTAGTGAGGCAAAGGGCAATGTTCTCACTTTACAAAGGAGTGAAGGGCTTGAACCCTTTCCTTTTAACTGGGTAGGCAGGTATCAGTGCCCAATGAAACTGTAGGAGAGCCCTCAGAGGGCAATCAAGACTCTTCAGCATCAGATGCTCACCCAACTCCTAATTTTCTGGATAATGTCCAGCATGGCAGCTAATTGAACATTTCCCTCACTCATTTGACAAAGATTTATTGAGAGCCTGGCACTATTCTGAGCATTGGAGGTACAGCAAAGAACAAGACAGAAAAACTTCCTGCCTTTGTGGAGTTTATATGCCAATGGAAGGAAAGGATGATCAAACAAAATAATAAAAATGAAAAAAGTTTTTTAATACTAAATAATTAAATTATAACACAGTGGAAAGTGATGAGAACTATGGAGAAAAACAAAGGAGGAAAGGGAGGAGAATAATAACTCAGGGAGAGTTGAATTTTAAAGAAAGTGGTTAGGGTAGGCCTCATTGAGAAGGTGACATCTGAACAAAAATTTGACAGCAATGAGGAAATAAGCCATGCAGATATTCCTAAGGCAGGAGTTGCCTGGCACATTCAAGAAACAGCCAGGCAGCCAGTGCTGGTACACCAGTGTGCACCAGGAGAACAGAAGGAGAGGAGGCCAGAAAGGACACGGGTCAGACTGTATTATGCCCTGTGAGGACAGTAAGACTTTTGGCTTTTACTCTCAGATGGAGCTGCATTAAGAAAGCCAGACAAAAAGGCAGCAAACATTTACTTGATCCCTTCTACATACATGACACTGTACACGGAATCCTCACAAAGACACTCTGAGGTAGGTCTTATTTATTGAGACAGGGTCTCGCTCTGTTGCCCTGGCTGTAGTACCATGGAACAATCTTGGCTCACTGCAACCTCCACCTCCTGGGTTTAAGTAAGTGTTATGTCTCAGCCTCCCAAGTAGCTGAGATTACAGGTGCCCACCACCATGCCCAACTAATTTTTCTATTTTTGGTAGAGCTGCAGCTTCACCACATTCTCCAGGCTGGTCTTGAACTCTTGGCTTCAAGTGATCTGCCTGCCTTGTCCTCCCAAAGTGCTGGAATTACATGTGTGAGCCACTGTACCTGGCCTGAGGAAGGTCTTATCTGTGTTTTTCACACAAGGAGAGTGAGGCTGAGCAGGGCATTCACCATCAAGCATATGTGCGGTCGGACTGATATTTGCTGTTGACTGTGTCAGAATCAGCCAACCCGATGTTGACATCTCATTTAATTCTCCTCTCCACACAGATTCCTCCAATCAGACAAGCAGAACAAAACCCCTCTGTCTGTAGACCCTCATTCTCTGCTTAAACATAAGAGACTCACCGACCCACAGCTGGTAGTCAGAAGCAGGGCAACCTCAGGGCTAAACTGTGAGGGATGAATTTTGGTCACTATAGTGCCTTGCATTCTCCCCAGAGCTTCACAATAACCTCAGTAAGGAAGGGAGGGTAGGAGTGAATGTACCCATTGTTCACAGTTCACAGGAGGAGCTCCTAGGGTAGGTTCTCCCTGGGTTCAGCCTCTCCTACACATCCTCCAGTCAGCATGATGCTAAGTCATTTTTCTAATACTCAGTTCTGACCAAGCCACATTCTCAAGCTTAAAACCCTTCCCCCAACTTTGCACTGACTATTGCCTAAAGCTCAAAATCCTTAAGTGGCCTGTACGACACTCCATGAACTAGCACCTCTTCTCCTCTCCAGGCTCTTTTTCTTAGGCTCTAGCCATTCTGAAATTTTCCAGTTCTTCTTGCCTTCAGGCTTTTGCACATGTTGTTCCTTGATCCTGGAACACCATTTCCCTGGTTAATACCTGTTAGGTCTCAAGTTACATGTCACTTACTGCACAAAAGTCTTCCTTAACCCCTCCAAGCCAGCTTAAGTACCCCTCCTATGTGCTCAATTAGCACCTGGCTTCCTCGGTCACAGTACTCATCACACAGTCTCAAATCCCTGTCTACTCACGTTTGTCTCCTGCCAGTTTGTGGACGAGACCTGTGTCTCCCAGTGATTTGTATCCCCAGCTCTTGCCACTGTCTTACGAGGCACTCAAGTATTCATGGAAAAAAAAATGATGAACACAGGTGGAAGGGGATTGAGCTCCCATTTCCCCTGAATGTGAACATGGCTCTAGGGCCCATAATTGAGAAACTAGGTCCATATTACTCAATGGGTTCTAGCTCCAATTCTTTCAAATCACAGCGTGGTTTGAATAAGTTGCATGACTTCTCTAAGACTTGGTTATCTCATGCATATGATGGGTATATTCTCTTCCTTGTGGAGATTACTGTGAGGCTCTGGTGAGAATGCAGGAAACTGCAGAGGACAAAGAAGGGTAAGGAGCAGTGGTAGGAACAGCAGCACAAAGGGAAATTGGAGGACTCCAAATACGGACTGTGCTTAATTTATGTTTTCCATGTGTCATCCCTGCTATGCCATATCTTTGAATGCCAATACTTTTCTTGTCAACTGTCCAAAGTTAAGCTGGAGAGAAAAACTAAGGCCCCAAGTAGTTGGTATTTGCCTTCGATGGTAGCAAAGAGTAGATCTGGGCTTCTAACCCTTATTCCAATTAAAATCCTAATCTAATTAACAACAAAATTTCTTTCCCAGCAGGCGCTGCTGCAAGGAGGGGCCCAGATAGCACAGACAGCATCTTCTCCTTTCCCAGACAGTATTGTTGTACCAAAGCCTACACAGATCCCAGGAAAGGAGTGTAAAACTTACATAAGTGGTGACTCTCACAAGATAAGGATGTCAGAAGAGAGGCAAATTGTTCTGACAGTCTCAAGACTCAAGAATGAAGTCCTCAAAAAAAAAATCTAGGCAGCATCAGAAGAGCAGTAACAAATATACTTGAGCTGGGGAGAATGGCACTGCACAAAAAGGCCCTGATCAACAAGAAGCCTCATCCCCAGTGGAACGCTTATGAAACCATCGTGTATAAAACTAAATGCTTTGTAAACTTCCTAGGATCACAGCAGCATCAAAGGAAGGATGGAAGGAGAAGCTGAAGAGGAACAAGTTGAATGTGACAATCAGAGAGCCTTTCCTTACCTCCCTCTCAGCAGAAAGATTTCCCTCCAGTATACCAGACTGGTGGTCATCAGATCACACTGCCAGGACATCCATGCCCAAAGCTGCTAATTGCACAGCTGGGCTGCTCCACTTCTCAGGCTCACTTTGCATGATGGTTGGACTTGGCCCTAAGTTCTCCCCATTGGTTCCATTTTACCTTGCCCTCTTGAACCACATTTAATTTATTGTCCCTTTCACATAATAGCTTACACAAAAGATTTTGTGCTCTCCCCACATCTTCTTAGTTGGTGGGGGAAAAACTGTTGTTCCCTCAACTGTCCCTCACATGCGTTTTCTAAGCCTCTCATGATCTTGGTCAATTCTCTCTAGACTGAAAAATGAACAAGCAGTGCTGAGCCCTTTACGTATATTTCAGTTTAACCACTCTGACCACCATGCAGGTAGGTATTCTCCACATCCCATGGATGAGAACACTGGGGCTCAAATTCAATAACTTGCCTAAACCACTCAACCAGAATGTGATTTGAACCCAAGGCTTAAGATTCGGAAGCCACTATTTTTCATCTTTCACTACATCACTAATCCCCTGCTTCTTAGAGAGATCACACAGCTGGTTAGGGGCTAAGATGAGACTAGAACCCAAGTTTTCCAATTCCTAGACAGTTCTCTCTTCACCCTGCTATTCCTCCCTCTGTATGTTTGATTTTGTCATTTCTCACGGGCAACATGCATCAGCCCTCAAGACATGGCATGCTTTTTTAAAGACAACTTGTTAGGAATTAGAAAATGATTAGGCAGCTGGGTGCAGTGGCTCACGCCTGTAATGCCAACACTTTGGGAGGCCGAGGCGGGCAGATCACAAGATCAAGAGATTGAGACTATCCTGGCCAACATGGTGAAACCCCGTCTCTACTAAAAATACAAAAAATGAGCTGGGCATGGTGGTGCATGCCTGTAATCCCAGCTACTCAGGAGTCTGAGGCAGGAGAATTGGCTGAACCCAGGAGGCAGAGGTTGCGGTGAGCCAGGATCACGCCATTGCACTCTAGCCTGGGTAACAAGAGTGAAACTCCGTCTCAAAAATAAAATAAAATAAAAATAAATAAATAAAATTAGCTGGGCGTGGTGGCGCATGCCTGTAGACCCAGCTACTCAGGAGGTTGAGGCAGGAGAATTGTTTGAACCCTAGAGGTGGAGGTTGCAGTGAGCAGAGATCCTGCCACTGCACTCCAGCCTGGGTGACAGAGCAAGACTCTGTCTCAGAAAAGAAAAAAATGAAAAGAAAAAAAATCAGGCCCTTTGGGTTTGATTTATGGGTAGACATGGAAAAGAGGACAAGCATGAGATAGAGGGGGAAAAGTCACGTGTGTCATCATGCAGGTATTTATACATGCCTACTGGCCTCTTAGAATGGTATCAATCCCTAGACCCAGAAACTATTACTAAAAGAACCTATACTTTATAAGTTTAAGCTCAATCAAAATGTTTTGTTATATGCGTACACAGAAATGTATTTATATGAAAAGCAAACTTTGCCCATGCACAGCTGGGAAACTGCTACATGAATACTTTGTTTCTTTGTGGTCAGAGCTTTCAGCACTCTATTTTTAAAAATACATACATTACTCAATGTACTGTGTTGCTTAAATTGGGCTTCTTGAGAGGAAAGAATTAACTTGTGAGTGGTTCAAAGTGGCCTCTTAAAAATAACAGTTGAATGAACAAACAAAATGAACCTCTTCATAAAGAAGTGAACTAACGAAAGGATATAAAGAGAATAAGAATGGATAGGCTATCCAATACTAGGTTGTCACTTTTTATAGAGCAACTGAAAATTTAAAATGAACAAGCATCTCAAGTTACAAAGCTTTCACTTCTGTGAGGATTCTTCCAAAGATGGAAGCCATTTTCTACTTCATTCATCTCTTTCAGGTCCAGGCTAATATAGATAATAGCACACAGCTAATATCTTCTGGAAACTGGCTTGGTGGTCTCAAATTATGAATGAAGAGGGAAAGACAGGAAGAAAGGCTACCTATATATGACAATTCCCCCTATTCCTTAATTTCATATTCAAACCTAACAATAATATCCCTGGATTTCTGAAAGCTCATTTTCTGCAATTGCTAGTCCTCAAGTTTAAACTTATAATACCCAGAGGAATAAAATATGTTAACCAAGACCCAACCAAGGGCAAGATAATGGGCTATGTGAGGAGACAGTGTCACACACAACTAATCCTCATACAACTATGTCAACTACTAATAAAGGGGCACACACCAAGTGTCAGGTAGGCAA